TATTACGGTGGGTCTAAAAATCAAATGTTTTGTCCCGTTGGTACCCTGAAAAATATGCTTTTATGTTAGACACCTTTAAGAAAGTCTCTCTAAGTATGAGCTCTTAATTGTAACGCCTTACAGTTTTCTAATCAGAGACATTAAATTTTATATCCAGGATGGTACTTTACAGAAGCCGATGTGAAAATTGAACGATGGGCGTGTCCCGCCTAACTTTAGGGGCAATCACATATTTCCAGACCTATTCAACCAATTTAAGCCAAATTCGGTACATAACATTACTGTGAAATTTCGCGAAATCGGACTATAACCACGCTTACCTCCCATATAGAACCACTTTAAATTCCATATGATTCTTACACTTTTGAGTATACAAACGAGGCACGAATTAATATATTCGGATACAACTTTCCAAAAATAGTATATTGAAGGTATGTCAATAAAAATTGTCAAAATTGGATCAGTCCCCAAATACCACATATGGGGTGCCGAGTGCCTGTTGCTAGCTTTTTACCGGCGATATGGGTCAATCTGTGAAACATTATTGAATTTCGGAGAGAGTCGCTGTATGTCAAAAATGGATTGAATCAGGTCAATACGTCCCTTAGCCCCCATAGGCCTACTAAAAATATTTTCGAAATTCCGGTTTTTAATAACAATGTATCTTTCTGGCTAAAATGGATAAAATCGCGTGGAAATTTGCCCTAGCCCCCATATAACTAATATCAGGATTTTCGAACATCCGGCTGTCCTTATGCCATATATAGTATGAGAAAACTTTATGAAATTCAGGAAGTATTTTATTGTTAACAGTATGTGGTATAGCCAAAGGTAGATAAAATCGGGTCCATACTACCCCTATCTCCCATATACCGGTTGACCTTATACCAAATATGTATATCGGTCAATGTGTAAGATATCTTAACAAAATTAACTGAAAGTATTATATTGGATGTACTATAGTTTAGTGCCGAAAATGTGTAAATTTAGTCTACGAATCACCTTAACCCCCATTTGCTACATACGTATAATAATTTATGTTATTCTAACACACCTTATGCCGAACATGTGATTCCGTGTGGGGGTTTTGTACAATATTTATAAAATAAAATTATATTCTCGAGTATATTTAAGCAAATTAAAAAGTTAATGCAATCAGCCAAAACCTTTTTCTGCCATTAGGCTGGTCAAAATTAGCGATACTTTAATGAAATTAAGTGGATCACTAATGTAGTTTACCGCTGAATATGACTGAAATAGGTCTAGACTTTGGTTTAAGCGTAATATCATCTCATTATATTAATTTTAGTCTCTTCGGTTGAAATTACATCACATATTTCTCATTTTAATATATTTTCGTTGACGTAAAGCAAAATATAGTAATGAAACTTAGTGAGCCTATGACCCTCAATATACATTAAGTTAATATGATATCAAATTTGATTATATTCCATTCACGATTTTGTCTAGCAATGAATGTTGAATTCTTTCGTAACATTTTATTAATAAATATGTTTAACAACATCTGAATGTATTTCCCGGCATTGATATTTCAAGTTGCGAGAATGTAAAATGTTCGGTTACACCCGAACTTAGCCTTTCCTTACTTTTTTATTATAATTTGCATTCAGTCTTTATTAGTAATATAATAATTTGTTCAGTGTTTGCTTTCCCTTATTAACAGCGGAGTGTGAAACTAAAGAAAATCGCATTGCGGTGATTGCTTTGCATAAGTGTGAAAAAGGCCCAAGTGAAATTTGAGAGCTTCTCAAAAAACTTATTATTTCGAGAATTGTTTGTTTAACGGACTATTGATCATTTTCCCCAAACGTCTACAGTTGATGACAGAAAGAGAAGTGGTCGCCTTCGCGTGGCCACTTTTCGCGAATGCATTCGCAGAAATCTCCTTAAAAAACAGATTTTATGTCAAGGGAAATGAATATATCTACCAGATCAAAGTCAAGAGTTATTCAAGATGATCTCCAAGCGGCTTCTAAAACTTCAGCCGTTTAGTGTGGTCAAAAGCCTAGATATGTCCGAAGTCGGCCTATGCATTTTAAATGCTCGAAGTAGTTAGTATGGAAACTTTCAGGTTTGTACATAAAATATCAGTCAATATGTGAGATAACTTCACTAAATGAAGCAGATATATTTTCTGATAATACTGTGTTCTGGTGTTAAAACTGAGTAAGATTGATTTAGTACTTCCCCTAGCTCCCTAAATCTAATATAATGATTATCTAACTTCCGCTTGATTATATTTTGTACACATCGATCAAAATGGGAGATATTTTAACAAAACTAATTTAATATATTCATTTTATAGTATTTAGGTGACATACATATGTACATATATGGCAATTTCAACTAAATTTGATGCACAACATTGTATGGTCATTCTACATTCATGACTTGAAAACGAAAATTTAAATCATTGTACGGTTCCTAGCTAATACAATTTTAAATTCCATCACTTCTCGTTACAATGTATAAGAACTTTGCAGAAATAGTCATTTGAAGTGTTACATTTAACGTTTGAAAGTTGTAGAATTTGTCCATTTACCGAATATGTGGAGCACAGGTCCTATGAATAACTTTCCCTTTCTCCCGAAAATGTCGGTCAATCTGTTAGACACATTATTGAAATCGAGCAAAATCTGGTCAATACTTCCAATATATATATAAAATTTTCGAACTTCCGGTTGACTTTATTTCGTATGTCGCTCAAGATGCGAGTTATCTTAATGTAATTCAGAGAGCGTGTTTTCCTGATAATATTGTGTATTACACTTTAAGAAAAGTCGAAGACAACCGTTATATGAAGGGCAATGTTTTCACTAAATTTGGTGCATATAACTTTTTTTTCACTTTCCGTTTGCACACTTTTCGTTCTAGTTTGGAAGTAACCATTGGAAAGAGGTTAATATTATAGAGCATATTTCTGAGGATGGTTAGCTTTGAATCGTTGATTTTTGCAATTAATAATGTAAAGACGGGTCTAAATAAAAGCATATATCATGTATAATATGTTCTTCAACCTAATATAAATTGGGACAAAATATTTAATTGTATTCCTTAAAAACTTATTCTCCTCTCATCGTCTATTTTACGAAAGAAAAACTTAACTTAGAAAATGTGAAATCAGCAGTGATAATCAACTGACTTTAATAATGGTGACGATAATGTCTAAATAACTGTTAAGCGTATAAGGTGTGTAAATTTATACTATTATATTAAGTAATATCTATATATTCGAGCTCATCATTGCGCTGACTTTTTGTCAACATTGGGGCTTTCCGGGAAGACCTTCTTAAGAGATTATTTTCTAAAAGGCGACGCGCAACAGTTCTCGAAGAAATTTCTACACCCAATTGTCTTTGGATAGCTACAGACGACTTTTTGATAAAATCTCTATGTATTGTAATTGTCATCCGAAAACGTCGTTTTTCGTGACCGTCTCCCTACCACCCTACTCAGCGACGGCCGTCACGTTTGTATGCAGATTTTTAGAATTTCATCTTAGTTGTACTTTATAATTTATGTATTTAACTTTACATATATGTAGATATGTTTTTGTGAAATTCTTGGTGCTATTTAAAGAAGATTTGAGCTACACATCAATATTTTAGTATGGATTCAATATAAATTCAATACTTTGTTTTTAACGAACAAATAATGAAATAAAAAATCCGATTCATGATGAAGTAGGAATACAAAGAAGGAATCATCGAGCGTACTGTTTTTTACATCCATATAAGTATTATATACAGATGTATAAGTGTATATCTTTTACAAAACTGGTATGAACAAATAAAAATTTGCTATGTAGCAATATACGCATAGTCCTGCAATGACTTTGATTGTAGTTTGTGTATGTTCCGGCTCACTTTTTCGCTTTTATATATATACTTTTCTTTTTATTCGCCAAAGTAGTCATCGTCAATCGCACAAGAGCTTCAACACGGGCGAACGACGATTGTAATGTCAGTACCTTTTGGCAAGCTTTAGCATTGCGAGTATAGGCGGCAACAACAATTGTTATGGTAAGGCATGAACCGCATAAGCGCAGTGGATGTAGAAGTAGAAATGACAGCAGTAGCGACCCGGCAATGTAGAAAAATCGCAAAAAGCAACAAAATGCTGAAAAATGAAGAGAAATAATAAAAGTTAAATATATCCACATACATATGTACATACATACCTAAAATAACTACTATATACATAGGTAGATGCACAAGTGCAAATAAAAATAAGTGGGTAAGTATTCAGCAGCCAACAACGCCGATAACAACGCAAATAACAGAAACAGTACATCGTCTATATGTCTCTTCTTTGCTATATCAAAGAAATGATGCCACCGCAATCACCGGTGGCAATGGTGCCGCGGCAGTTGTTGCTGCTGCTGCATAATTCATACCTATGCTGCTTCTGACCACAACCTGCTACCTTCTGTTAGCTACCAAACATCTTAGGCAGATTGTGATTACTGGGGTTGCAATGTTTTGCACAATAATATACATTTCTATATACATACACTTACTTACACACCTATGTGAATATAAGCCCCAATACATTTTTTTGTGTGTTCAATTCAATTCAGTCACACCAACAGGAATGAGTAGATACAGACGACTCTAAACTTTAGTCGCCTTTCGTTGGCAATAATATGGTGAATGAGTGAAATTGCTCAACCTTACTGGCACCGAGCACAATCAACAGAACGAACACCACGCCTCCCTAATATCCAAAGCGTTGAACGCAAATATCCATCCATATTAATGTAAATACGCAAGCAAACCAGTAACTTAACATGGCATGCTTTATAACCTTCTCTGCATAGTTTAAACATTCACTTCTTCCCTTAAGCGTAACAGAATCATAAGCGCAAGCAAGACAAATCTATAAACTTTGCCGAAACAGCGATCAATAGAAGTTCACCAACGCCAATCGTATACGATAAAAGATGCTTATAAGTGTACAATATGTGTCAAAATGCGATAGCTGTCTTTGAGTCAGCATGAGCTAAAATTGTTTTCACTCATTACGTGGAGCGGCGATGTGATGGTGGCTGTCCGAAAAAGTACTGTACATGCAGTAGTCGTCTCACATTCGAAGAACGGTGAACTAATAAAACCTATGTGATGTAGCGCGCATGACTCAACAATGGAATTGAGTTTGAAATTGTAAAAGTGCTCTCCGTACCGTGTTTCGAACAGTTATAACTGGCGAGCACAGCACACCGCAGAAACGATCGAATCATGGTAGTGAAACTTAACGTGCCAAAACCACTCACGACAAATCAGTTTTAAACGTCCAGCTAGTGTCGGCAGTGTATTTTGAAACCTTTCAAAAGTTTCGAGCGAAAAAGAAACCGGCCGTGGGTGTGAGATCGACTATGTGCGTTTGTGCATAGATTGAAATAATTAACTCGCCGCAATATGTACATGTATCTACAATAAATACGCGTTTATGGAAATACAAACGAAATAATTAGTGAAAACAGAAAAATTATTAACAAATTAATGAAGTGTACATATGTATTTAATATACATATAAATTCGAAGCATTTACTTTAATAATTAAAGGCAAGCATATGTAACAATGACTTTAAAAGGTGAGCAGCAATGCTAATGGGCAAATTGTATGTACGTATATACTTGTATGTGCCATACATCGTTTTGAGAGTTTATATTCAAATATCTTCTAAATAGAAATTCGCCAATATATGACAAAGTTATGTTACTACCTATTTGTGTAGTTTAATATCGATAAGAAAGTATGAAACACGAAATTATAGATCTTACTAAATGTTCAAACGAAAAAGTATTTACAGTGTTGAAATATGAAATAAATAAATTGGCGAAAGTAGCCTTCATAAATGTAAAATAATGGTGGATATTGCAATAATCGATGAATGTAAAGCAACATACATACATACATATATATGTATGTTTGGATACGTATGTATGGATTTACATATATGTACATATATAATTTAACGTTTTACGCAAAGAAGAAAATACTAACCTATCTGCTAATATACTCATATACATAAGCAAGCAGAAGCACATTCTTTCATAATTAGTTTCAGCGGGTAGTTTCTAGTAAATTATGCATCATTCCGATGAGATTAGGTTTAACCAAAGAACTGGACGCTTATTAGAACATTTTACTTAGGTATTAAGCATAAATACGTACAAACATATTAATACATACATACGGTCATTTATACACACGTGCACATATGTACATAAATATTAAAATGACATTTTATCACAAGGTAAAATCTTATTTAATGAAACGGACAGTCGACAGGGTCCACTTTCAGCCAATATTTTAGTAGTCGGCATTTGCCATTAAAAATCCAATTTAACTTGACGCACCGCTATCGCTACTGTGGTTGTTGTTGTTTTTGTTGAGTTTTTTAGTAGAATCCGCGCACTGCTAAGCAAAGGCGCCCACAACGGTCTAGTCATAAATTAATATGTACCTTAAATGAATTTTAAACTGTCAGTATCGCTTGCATTTAGGCGCTTAGGTTCCTGTCGCCCGCCTGGTAGTGCGAAAGTTTCGATTGGTTAAAAACAAAGCTTTTGAGCCGGCGGTCCGTCTTCAGATTGCCGTTCATAGCTACATATGTATATACATATTTATTCGCAAATGAGACGTGAGACAAGGCCCATTATATACTCATTGATATTTGCAATGAAATTGAATTGTTAAATAAATAAGTATATCAAGCTAAAACAACCAAAGCAACGTTCAAGTCCATAATATCTTTATGTACCTATATTGGTTTATAAAAATGAATCAATTCGGATATGAGAAGAAACTGAAATGGTAAGAATTCCAAACAGTAGGTGCTTAATAACAAATAAATAAATACAGAAAAGATAGTCAAATAAATCAAACCGATTGGTAAATAATCTGTTTGTCGCCTTGTGGCCAATTCCAATCGAGAGAATTTGTAAGAGTTTGAAGCTCTAATGCGTTACTTAGTTTTTAAGAGTAGTTCTTGATATTTACCCATACATATGTATATATATAACCGCCGTTTTTAATATATTATATATCAGGAGAAAACTTGACAAGACCAGCTACGAAGGCATATAAACGTGAAAAAAATCAAACCACATCAAGTGATTCGTACAGTGAGACGCCACCGCAAGTCATAGTATATTAAAGCAAAATTGTTAATTTGAAAATTTTCAAAAATCGAACACTTGTATACGCACAATTACCTTTGATGGTTAAAGAGGCTGGATGAGTGCGCCAGCGTTTTGGGTATCCAAAAAATTAGTTGCGCGATTTACCACAGGTGTCAGCTGTCGTATCTCGGCATTTTACGTGGATTCAGTATTAGGGTAAAAATCTCATTTTAGTGCAAGAATTATTATCGTGGGTTTATTGAAAAGACGAGAATTAACACCGTTATTAAGCATCCTTGACAGCAAACCTTGAGATATTCCAAAAGACGCACATGGGCGTCTGCACCGAAGAGCGCCCTGTGATGCATTGGGTAAGTTTGGCAAATCCATATATGTATATTTAAGTTGGTTTTAAAATTTTAGAAAATATAGCACATCCAAACTCGTTGAAATTTCAATTAAAACCATCTTTTACCTAAAGCCTTCAAGATTGATCAATACTGATTAACATGAATATATGCTTCAATTTACTAACACTGTTAAATATTGTATCTCAAGCACATCGGATGTTTTTAGTTAAAATACTAAACTGGCATACCTAAATAAAAGTTTTCTACGGCATAGCGTTAACCCCGACGCAGCCTACCTAAATAAAGCGGCAACTTTACGTCAAATCAGTTCAAAATAATTGAAATAATGAAATTCAAAACGAATTAATTTATTAATAATATTTACATCCATTTATGCAAACATAAAACATCCCGCGTCAAGAAGTGTTTCAAAAAAGTTATCGATTTCCTCATTTCTGCAGCCAACTTAACTTCTTACGTGATGTATAATCTAGTTTTTCAACGCTCAGCGTTGCCGCCGCGCTTATTAACTTATGCCCCATTCAAAATCTATGGGCATGAAGAATTTTTGAGAGTAATTTGCCGCTGTCGCTTTTAAGCAAAGCAAGTATAAACTGTAGAACGCTTCCCTTTCACTTATATTATACCCTTAATAAATATTAAGTTTGCCACGAAGGAAGATATTTTTTCCTTATAAAGTAATCTTAATTCGACATGAATGTTGATTATATCAAACAAAGTGGCTAAAATGATTTGCAAAATGCAAATGTGGGCCGGTTGTGTTTTCAGTATTAGTAATATAGGTATATATTGTAGTTGCTATAAGAAATGAACCTGCAAAGGGTATTAGAGCTTCGGTGCAGCTGAAGTTAACGATTTTTCTTGATCACTATAAATGTGATAAGATTTATGACTCTTAACCTAAGACTAAAGAAAAAATTTTATAATTGAACCTTTGAAACATTTATATATATGGTTCTTTACTATAAATATTAGATCATATCTCAACATTTTACATTCGCTCACTAATAATAGACCGGCTTTATGCTTTATGTTCACGTCGCTTTTGTAGTACTTTTGGTTGACATTAATATCTTTTCCGAAACTCTTCAACACACAAAAGTAGGTATTGCTTTTCATTTTTAAGGGATCTTTAAACTACTTTTAGTATTTGAATCCAATTTGAACATACCAGTTTTTCTTCCAGTAATAAGCATACATAGATAATATTAATGTCTTGTGCGAATAGTATGAATTTTGGTTCTTTCACCACGTTACGCCTCAATACTCCGTCATGTCTTCCAGAGTAATGACCCAAGTATCTACTGATTGTTGGAGAATATTGACTGGTAAAATATACATATTACTTATACATTCCCTGTGTTCTTATTGTGTGTGTTATTGTACGATATAATGACTGGTACCAAATACATATTACTTATACATTTCTTGTGTTCTTCGTGAGTGTTGTACTGTAAATCTTTTAAGCGGGGAGTACGGTTAATTCGAGCAAAAACAAGCACATTTTTAAGAATTTTTTGGGACGACACAGTTAACATATCTTTTTTAAAAACCAATGGTAGATTAAAGTACGATATTCGAAGCATGGTATATAAAACTTTTACGAATAAATATTAACAATTACAACGATGGCAGAAACTATTCGAACGCGTCTCGGAAAAAATGAGGATTGCAGTGCCCCTTATAACTTCGTGCTATATTATCCGAAATCGAAAAATCAAAGTTCATTCGTTAGATAATAATTTTCAACATTATTTTTACAACTTATTCTGCTTCTATGCATGACCTCTACGTTCAAATTTATATACATGTGTATATCACTATATAATTTTAGGCTGGAGTGACTTTATGTTGGATTTCAACATTGAATAAAACTTCAAAGATGCATTATGATGACAGTTTATTTGTTAGCAGGAGATATTCCGTCTAGTATTCGCTCATCTTTAAACCCTCTTGTATCCCTTGCTTAACCTATGATTCTCTGTTACTGTATGTCTGATTATCGTATCCCAACAAAACTTAAACGCCTCGAATAATAATTATATGTATTGTAAAATTTTATTTTGGAAGCTCTATTCTATATTCCAGATATTTGTGATTACGTAACATTCACTTTCACTTTACATAAATATGTCAAGCAGAGCTATTTATCCTATTTTTGGTATTCATCTACATATATTCTATAAAGTCTTAAGCCGCTTCCAAATCTCTGTTGTGAAATCAGTTGCTACGTAGTCGTAGTACTGACGGCAGCCGCAACTATTCTCACAAAAAAAAATATTGGTAGAAAATTTTTTTGTTTTGAACCTCAAATTTAGGTAAGATTTCCAGGTTTAGTTAACAATTTTTACGAGAAAACTTAGAACAGTGGAAATTACATACTACCATTCGTAGAGTTTTGTAAATGTGTATGAAACAAATAGAATTGCAACTGCTCAGTGGCTAAGTTGCTCAGAGAATCATTTACTTAGCAAGTAAAAGGTCATTAAAATGACATTATCTAAAATTGTAATAACATTGGTACCAAAGAGAAGTTGGTATTGCAGATGGGCGGAATCCGGCCATTGGCACGCCCACAAAACGCCATTAATGGAAAACCTAAAAATGCAATAGGTAAGCCGAAAATTAAGATACAGAGCTGTAAACTATTGCAGCGAATGAAAATAGAGAGGAAAATAGATGAAATCAGTGTTAACCCCGCCAACTTCCATCCATACATAAAAACTTTTAAAAGTGCGATGACTCACTAAATAAATACGTCATATACAAGTACATTAAATTTCACAAACTACATGATGTGCCTCATAACAGCAGGTGTAAAAATTGGACAATGGGCATGACACCAACAACCTTTAGATGTAATCCAGTAGCTACTTAACTTTCAATCAAATAATATTCCTGTGTTACATTGTGAAAACAGGCGAATTCGGATTACAACCCCACCTACATCTCACGTTACAAAATTTTTTAATACCATTTGATTCTTTCGGTTATCGGAATAAAGCTTTGCTCAAATAGTGGCTCACGTCGAAAAGTTGTCGAAATCGGATCGCAACTCAGTGTCTTTTTACCAAAACTGGATATAATCCGGTTAATACTACCCCTAACCCCATACACCTAATATAAAAATAGGTTTGACTTCCGGTTGGTTTTATACCGTATATATCGGTCAATATGTAAAATATTTTTTTTATTTAAGACAACACATGATGTGTGAAATCGATCCACGAATTACCCCAGCTCCATTTATTAATTATGATGATTTTCGTCATTATAGCAGACTTAATGGCGAATATGTCAGTCAGTGTATCAGTTAAGTGCCTGTAAACATGTTCTCCAGTATCATAACAAGGTACATAATATATTAAATTTAACCTCTATGATGGTGCTTATATACCATATGTATGAAAATATATCTCATCACGACTCTCGTTTCGTATGTGGCTAAAAATTCAGTCACAATCATGCTAGAATAAGACGGCGCATTATCTTTGTGAAAATCCATGAATTTTCTGCCCACTAATCTGGTCGTTAAAAACGAATTGCTTCTCGTAGGCGCCTCAAAGCGACCAAGTAGTATTCCTTACTGACTATTTGATACAGTGGAATGAATTTACACCACGGTAATCAAAGAAAACGATAAGCAACACTTTTGATCCACTTTGACGAGGTTTTTTCGGTTTCGGCTCATTTTTGAAGCGCCATTCTCTAGATTGCTGTCAGCAGTAATGAATGATGCGTTTAAGAATTTAGGGTCCTCAGCTACGTTGTCAAGCATCTCCTCTGCGACCTCTACTCGACGTCCTTTTCCAAAAGATTCAGGTTTTTTAATATGTGTCTAACATTCACATGCTTCATACCCAAAACATTAACCAAAATGTGTTGAGTCTACCATAATATTCATAAGAGATGTTGAGAGATGCTATTTCTCTGATGTCAAAACGGCGCTGTTTCTATAACTTTTTCGATGTTATCACTATGGCATATAGCTTCTATACAAACTGACCGATAAAAATCAAGATAATGAACATTTTATTTCCTTTTATGCTATAAAAAATGCACCTATGAAAGAAGAAAGAGTCACCGACATTCTGTCCTTGCGTACTTACAGGCGATATTAAACAAAATTTGTCAAAAATTATGCCCGTAGTGGCAACGTAGAAATCACTTGTTCTCTTTTATTTTCATTTCACCAATGTTGCTATTGTTCAATTTGTACACACGATTTTGCACACATTTAGTTTTTTAGTTATAATTTTTCATAATGTAAAAGCTCAAAACTAAAATCCAACTATTAAAAATTGTCAAAATTTTTATAAATAAATGCATTCGACTGTGATTTTCAGTTATTTTGACAATATTTCAAGTTCATTTCTTAATTACTACAAAATATCCTACCGTACGGTCTGTTGAAGCAGACGGTAGAAACATCGATGAGTGTTCATTTACATTGCGCTCTCATAAGATTGATCGTACCCGCCGATTCACTCTACAGTTATGCGTCGCTGACTGTTTCTATCATTAGCATGGCCATTCTCGTTTTAAAACCAAATTGCATTTTGTGTTTATTAATTTTCTGTTATCTCGCGCTAAGGTTAAATGTTATCATTATATGATATAGAATGAGTATTTTACAGACAACTCGTATACAGCTTGCTTTTTCGAGTATATGTATTCACAATTTACAGTACATATAATAAGAATATGCAGGTACTTATTGTAACGAATGATCCCTGTGTGATACTCCTCTCTTTGTATAGAAAACGCTTTTTTGGTCGCTCTATTTTTAAATTATTTAGGAATGAAAACTGTGTATAACATAATATTTCAAGAATAGAAACAAGTAAAGAAAATATTTGCTTATGCTTCTTTGCCACAAGTTTAGCCAAAATAGCCAATACTTCCTGCGCCTCATAAAATAAGTGAATATACAATATAAATAAAATCTATTCCCTCACTCATGCTCATTTTTGCTTCAGATTGCGAACTATATGTACATA